CACACACACACACACACAAACAAACGGTGACTTCTTGTGTTTGGTGAGCTTTATGTAGACAAAAAAAAGAAAACCCTTAGTAGCCCCTTACCTTTAACTTTACACACACACACACAAACGGTGGGTTCTTGTGTTTGATGAGCTTTATGTAGACAAAAAAAAAAACCCTTAGTAGCCCCTTACCTTTAACATAACTATTAAAATATATGCCTAAATTTAATCCATACCCTAATCTTAACCCTAACTCTAAACTTAACCATTAACCTGAAACTTAATCTAAACCACTGAATCCACACAAGGACATTGCATGTATGTTCACTGGCTTATTCAGGTTTTTATGCGTACAAGAACCTCTGCTCCTCGTCCAATCAGTCATTCGTTCATTTCTTACCACGTTAACTTGTTCAGTGTTGTGGTCACATTTGAATGTCTAATTTGCGAAACTACAATTTGTGCCGTTCAGACGGTCCCGGATAACACAGGGTTTGTGACAGTGCTCGAAATCCTTGAAAATGCTTGAATTTCAGTTTGTGTTTTCAAGGTTTGAAAGGTGCCTGTAAATGCTTGGAATTAAAAAAAAAAAGGATTTCCCAGCAGTCTGAGTCAATAGACGACATAATGAACCGAGAGAAATACAGAGAGTCGGATAGAGAGAAAAAAAAAAATCGTGCAAACCACACTGCAGGCGTGATCCAGATTTGCTGAAAAATGTGCTCGAATTTGAACCCTGAAAAAAAGTCCGAGTTGAGCCACTTTGGTCAAACCGTGAATATATTCTCAAAAACACGAGTTTCCTGTCCTCAGTTTCGTCAGGCAGAACCGATGACCTGTTGGCTGTTGGGCGGGGAGCGCTAAACCAAATGCCACCAAGAACCATCTTTGAAGTCATTTCCTTGATATAATGGTGGTTTTATCACAACAATAACACATTATTAATTGTTAAATCAGAATGCCCTCCCCTTTCAAACGCAGGACCACTGCTCTTTCACCCATGAACTCTTCATCTCTGCCCTGATTGTGCTCATAAAACCCAGGGTGAACTTTGCTCTTGACGGACAGGCGACGCTGTCTGCCAGCAGGCATACTGATTACCTGCCCGCTCCGAGGCGGTCGGGTTTGCATTTGTGCATGTGCACGCTCTTCAAGAGCTCCTATTGCAGGCAGTCATGACAAGTCATGCTGCCAAATGAGTGTGTGTTTTGTTTTTTTTTCTTCTTCTTCTCATTATGTTGCCATAGTGATGCAGTAAAAGGTCACTTTGAGATGTTGTCTTCCAAGACCTTGCATGGATGGATGCTCGTGTGTGTGTGTGTTAACCTCAGTGCAGCTGATCACATTTGGCTGCAGAATAAAATGTTCAAATCTGGTTTGTTGCTTCTACCAGAGAAGGAAGACTGCTGCCTTGGAGTGTGTGTGCACAGGTACACAAAAACATATGAATTACACTGAAGGGTGTAATCACTCATAGGCATGTAAATAACATCACAGTTAATTCATGTCTGAAATTTGATGCAGTATAAAACAACAGGATTAAAGCCTAATGCTTTGTGATAAAAACAAACACACACACACACACACGCACGCACGCTGATACGAACACAAACTCAGACACAATAGAGTCTTGAGTTGAACGCCGCTGCATACCAAGTACTCTGTATTCACAGCACATAATCAGCTAATCTCTCTTATTGTCTTCTCAGTGTCTTCATTTTATGCCCGCTCTCCATCACGGTCGTTTTACGCGATAGCTTTTTCTTCTCTGCCTCCTCCCACCTCTCTCCCGCGTATCTGACATTAGACACGTCCACACCTAATGTCCATGTCATCTATCTGCTAACCCGCCATCTTTCTTCTTCTTCTTCCACATTTCCTGCTTGTCCCTCCCCCTGTACCCAAGCCTTACTCTGAGTATATCATTTTAATGAAACGTTTTTTTTTTTGTTTGTTTTTTTTCTTTAAACACACTTTATAGAGCCACCTTTAAAACTTTCTTATTTCCTTCTCCTCCCTGCTGCAGGAATGAAAGAGCTCTCGCCTCCTCCACTGAACCTGCGGCGCCTCTACTCAGAAACGGTCGAATGGGAGCCGGTGCTGATCATCATCTCTCCAGGGGCCGATCCGTCCCAGGAACTTGCAGAGTTGGCCGCAGAGACAGTCGGCAGAGACAACTATCACGAGGTGAAGGATAACAGTCCGATGTTATTTGGACAAAGACACAAGTCGATTTTACAGAAAATGCTTAAAATGGTTGTGAAAGTGGAATATCACATATCACATAGACTTTTTTTTTTCATCAGTTTTCCTTTTAATTTCAAGTTATTAAATCAGGCTCACATTTTTTAAAGTCAATCTTCCCCTGTGCTACTTTATGCACTACGGTACCGTAATCTTATCTTAATCAAATTAGATCTTACTATCTAGTTTCTCTATCCATTCTTGATTTAGACCAATCTGAAAATGTGCCTTTAAATAAAGTTTGTTTGCCTCTGTGACCTCTGAAAACTTAAATTGTGTGATCACTTACTGTATTTCTCCACCTCCATGTAGATCTCAATGGGACAGGGACAGGCTGACGTGGCCTTAGCTACTCTACGAGAATGTTCCCGGAATGGAGAATGGCTCTGCCTGAAAAACCTGCACTTAGTCACTGCGTGGCTGCCCATTCTGGAAAAGGTCAGTGTGTGATTCATGTGTATACGGCAGGTTAGGCCTTACTTAAACTCAGGGACCAAAAGAAGCCCCTGAAAATGCAATTAGTAATTTACTAATGTTTTGTTATTTGCGTTTTCTGGTTTCTTGACACACAGTCCACAGTGAACTGGTCGCCATAGTGACCAGAGGGTTCTATGGTTTGAAGTGATTGCTGTCTATGCATGTGTACTTGTGATGAACCTGAGCAGGCATGGGCAAACTTTGGCCCGAACTGATCCAAATTATATTAGGTAAATTATATTATCATTGGACTTCTGTCATTTTGCACTTGGACTGCAATGTCCATGTTTACCCAATAGATGGTGCACTCCAGGGTTGAGGAATATGAATCTCTTTTCCCTTTGTTTGAACTTCCGCCCCTTCAGTAAAAATGAGCAGGTCAAAGAAAAAAAAGACATTGTTGCTGACTACGATATCAGCCATCACTTCACTAGGTGTAGTAAAGGCCAACATTTATGTCAGACGTTTACGTCATTCATCTTAGTTCACACCAACACTCAAAATCACAAATCAAAAAGTTTGCCCACCCATGGAGTGGAGAATTGTCGCCGTCATTGCCGTATCCCACTCTGTCACAATACAGCTATAGTTTTGTAATGTTTCAGTTCATGTGTGTCAAGGGGTCAAACTGAGATCTCACCCGTCAAGTGTGTGCACGTCGAGTGTGTGTGTGTGTGTGTGTGTGCGCCTCGTGCGTGCACTCCCAGTGTGACTTCAACAACGGCTTAATAGAGCTGTCATCTCCTCTCCTTCACCCCTCCTCACCTCGTGTTTTATCTGCCCTCTCTCATCTTCCTACTGTATTTAATTTTTATGTATTCTCCATATGCTCTCACTAAAACCTAAAGCCGTTTCTGCCCGGCTGTTCCCTCTCCCCGACGTGTTTCTCCTCGTAGCTCTTTGCTCGCTAACTGATGAGGTTGAGGTCCCGGCAGTCAAGCCTGAAATGAAAAGCTGAAGCAACTGGGGGATTGAGGGATGTGTGGAAGTGGAAATCCTACAAAGGGAGGGCATCTTTTTTTTTTTTTTTTTTTTAAAAACATCCGCTTCTGTTTCAGTAGCCCTGTCCTTTTTCTCGGTTTTCCTTTTTTTTACATGGTTTCTACATTTTCCTCTCCTTCCCTGCCATCTGTTTCCCCTGCTTCTTCCTCCGTCTCTGAATTAGGTGGTCAGTTAGAGAGAGGAGAAGGGAGGGGGATTAGACAGAGCAGAAAGAGTTTATAATTGAAGTCGGCAGTGCAGATGTCCACTCATAATCCCCCACTTCTAATGTTTCCTGGCACTCGTTTTTTTTTTTCATTTCCCCAACCACTTCCATAACTAAAAGGTCCATTTTCAACCTCAATTTTTTTTACACCCCGCTATCATTTCTTTCTTTTCACATTCAGTGATAATGTTTTGTATCTTATTCTAGCGAATTACTAAACAACTGAAGAATTGGAAACATGTACTTATTTATTAAGAAATACCAATCCAACACTTTGCCATTTATTTTGGGTGAATTGCAGCAGTAAACTACCAAGGTCAGGTTTACAATCTGGTCAATAATTCAAGATTAGTTAATTCATTATTAGGGACATTGTGATTAATCTGATTTAAAGTGGGAAACATATAGAACCTGCTGCAATTTGTTATATTTATCTATTGTTTTTTTTTGTAGTGTAGATTTATCTCGATATATCGTCACAAATTTTCATTATTTACATTAATGGCAATTATTCACGATGTGCATGCTTAATTAGATTTAAAGGAGTCATCGGTGAGTCACAGCAAACTACTGCATCTGTGTGCGTTTCATAGTGTGCTGCCTGTTGACTAATAATCTTTGACAAATTAATGAATAAAAATCAAACAGAGCTAGGGTGATGTGAGTTGTGGCAGGTTGATTCTTTACTGCAGAGAATCCTGATTCTTCCAGAGAAATAAGACTATAAAAATAAGAATTCAGCTTCACTCGGACGTGGTCAGAAGGCTCGGCGGCAGAAATGCCAGGGCCT